CGTCGGAGAATCTTGGGTGGCTGAACTGATGTTAATCACATCCTTCCAATTCCTTCTCTGGAACACCAATTCCAAACATATGGCTTTAAGTTGGTGGAGATTGTGTCCCCGTTCTCAAAGTTCTCTTCAGCCAAAACTTATAGGGGTGTCGAATAGCAAGTCATTTGTAGAGGGGCCAGAGTTCATTTCCTTTAACAGGCTGATGCAACAGGTGTCAACGGCCCGCTGTGCCAGTGCGGTTCATAACGCGTTGTACTCGAGAGTGTCAAACGCTTTCTCGCATTCGTCGAAGGCGACGCACAGAAAGAGCTGATATTTCCTTGCACACTCGAACGGTAAAGATGTTATTCGTTGTACTGTAGCTCCTTTGGAATCATGCCTGCTATCTTGGCTGCTGTTCGTCTGGACTTGTTGTCAGTCTTTTAATAATGCTTGTAGTAAACCGTTTGTAGACTTGTGAGAGCAGATAGATTGGACGATAACTCTTCAGATCTTCTTTCTCACCCTTCTTGAGCACCACGGATTTTATTGACTTATTTTAACTTGGAGGAATTTTTTCCTTTTCTAGGTAGCATCCTTTTCTCTAGAGCCCTCATCAGTGTCTGACCACTGGCTCTGATTATTTTTGTTGTTAGACCGCCCGTTCCCAGATGTTTTCCATCTTTCATGTGATGCAGAGACTTCGCTTGTGACAGTCAGGAGGGCATTTCCTTCTGACTGTTGGATTTATGTGTGTGTGTGTGGGGGGGGTGCGTGTCTCTGACGCACAAAGCTGAGAGTGAAAACTCTTACAGAGAGACTACATCTTGGATCTGTCAGACGTCAATGTCTCATTGCGGTTCTTCAGCGCGATGGTAGACTGATAACGCGATAACTCTCTCCTGTATTATCTGAGGAAGCTTCTGAGATCTTCGTTGTTTTCTATAATTTTTGCAACTGGAAGATCTCGGGTCGTCCTTCATTCTATTGTACATATGGTAGAAACAGTCTTGCACATTCGCTTGTGTATCTCCTTAAACTTATACTGATATCATGTGACTGAATGAAATGAATTTGATACATCTTCAGATTCCATGGTTGACCATACCATGGAAGAAGAAGAGGAAATTCTTCATCTGACACAATGCCTACATTTTCACCTGACTGTTATTCGTATCACCAGACAATATTTGTGATGATGACGAATGCTAACCTTGGAACCAGGAAACGTGCTCGTTTTTACTCTTAGAACTCCTCGACGAATTCAGCGAACAATCAATAACCCTAATCCATTATTATCTAACTTTCTTTCTAAGATCGCAGAGCAAGCGGGGCATTCAAATAAGATCTCTAGTTCTCCTACAATGCGAAAGGAGGTGTCTAAGATAAATTTTTACCATGAAAAACAAACGAATGCAAAGCAGTACTCCATGAAACTATTCTGAGAAGGGCTCACTGTTCAACAAGAATGATAAATACGTAAATAACGAAGAAAATGAAATATTTGAAAGTGACCAAACATTGAGAAAACTTTAGGCCTCATTGTAGAAATCCTCTAAACTGCAGTCACATTTCAATTAAACTAGCGTGAGAAACGGAAAAAAACCTTCAATAATGAGTCATTCCTAAGGGAAGAGCGGAAGACATTCCCAGAGGGCTCTACGCTGCAGTAAAAATATTTATTAGCCTTTGTCAGGATTTCTTTAAATTAAATATGTTAATGGTATTAAAGGAAGAATTTGAAATAATGAATATAATGCCACTAATTACTCTGGTGGTACTGTAATAAGTTGCTAGTGTGCAGAGTACAGTTTGTACAACAAAGTGGTAGTTTGGGTAGTAAATATAGACACGTGAACTACGCGAATTTAAT